ATATAAATTATTTCGTTATTGAACTTAAATTAAATTATAATTAAAAAATTTGAATTAAAAATTACACAAAAATAGGGAATTTTAAATAGTTAATTTGATACTAATATCGATATATATATATATATATATATATATTTTGTCAAATTTTTATGATATCTTCAAACTTATATTTTATTCAAAAATAAAAACATCATCGCTTTTTCAAAATCACGTAAGACCATATTATAATATCGACTGAGATAAAGAATAAAATAAAATATTAAAATCAAGAGGTACCTCGCTGTATTGCACGAGTACTCTCGCTGTATTGCGCGAGTACCTTTCTAATATATATATATATATATATATATATAGATATATATCAAAAAATCTTTATTTAATATAATTAGAATAATCATTGAGTTCTAACACAATACTTAGTTATTATCTTTATAAAAAATTATATTATTAAACCTAAATTAAATTGTTACTAAATCTAAATTAAATAATAATTAAAAGAAATTGAATTAAGAAAATTACACCAAAACATAGAAGCTTTTAAAAAGATTAATTTGATATTGATATCGATATATCTTTTTTTTAAATTTTATGATATTTTCAAATTTATATTTTATTCAAAAATTAAAAAAACATTATCGTTTTCTCAAAACTATATAAAATCGTATTATATCGACATAAAAAAGGATAAAACAAAACACTGAAATCAAGATGTGTCTCGATGCATTGCACGAGTACCCTTCTAGAGTATATATATATTGAAAAATCTTTATTTAAGGGTTTTTTAGAGAGTGACACGAGAACAGGTCCATTTCTGATATTTTATAGGTTCTGACTTAGATATAGGAATGAGATGGGGATGAGGATGGATATTTTATTCGATCCAAATCTCTGTCCCCATCTTCATCCTCACTGAAAATATGATCACATACTCATCATCGTACCCACAAGGAATGGTGATCTCCGATAGGGAATCGATGAGCTTTCCCCCCGTTAATATAAGATACTTTAAATCAATATATGTGTCAAGCATTACACTTGATAGTGATCAATATTTAAATCTCACAAATCTCCAAAATCTTTTTTTTGTAGAACATCAAATAATCATATGTGAACAAAATCACAATATCATACGTAATTGATTGATCAAACGTTTTCGGCTTTCAACATGATTTTATCTAAAAGAAAGTAAGACTACTCGGAAAAAAAAAACTATATTTAATATTCGGGGAGGGGTAAGAGTGGGAACCACGTTAATTGTCCCCGTCCCCATCTTCAGTTTTACCTTTCGGGGATCCCCGTCCTTATCCCCGATCCCCGGTTTTGCGGAAAATCTCCATCTCCATTGGGACAGGTACACCGGGTTCCCCAATGGGGCGGGTCTTATTTTCATGCTTACTCTTGGCGAAAATGTAAAAAAGGGCCCTCATATGTACGAAAAAATTTTGAATATACTGTTTTTATCATTAAAAATAACATTGAATTCAAGAAATATCTATAATTAATATACAAATGTTTTTCTGAGTATACCTAAACACAAAATCAATCAATAAATATTGTTAAATTAATATTATATTCCATATCATTTTCACATGGTATCATCAATCCGTTCCACCATCAAAAATATCATATGGTATACTTTTAACGTATAAATTGACATCATTTGAGGGTCACAATGTTTACTATTCGGAGTAACACTCTATGTACATTAATATAAATCAATTGGATTCCATCGCACATCATATCACGTCTTCTATCACCGTTTTTAAACTAGGGTTAAAACAAACAAAACTTAAGACCAATTAATATTTTACATATTTTCTTTTGCAATGTAATTAATTAAAATATGTATGGGTCATGTACTAAATTCTTTTCGAGTCTTATTTAAATACTAAAAAAACTATAGTTCTTTTATTTTTCTAATTTTTTGAACTACTATTATATGTAAGGAGAAGGTTAGAGTTGTACAATCAAGTGTACGTACGTATATGAAATCCGGATGACTTCCCAAACAACTTTAGTCGTCGAAAAAGTCGTCCCAAACACTGGTAACGGTTTTAAGTTGCAGTTCCAGCATTCCTTTTACGTGGTTCGTGTAATTTTATACATGTTCTCTTTTTATAAATAAAAAAAAAAGAGCAGTTGCGACTACACTAGACTAGGGTTGTGTATCTTCCCATTGTATCTTCGATTCCAAGCATTGTACTCAACATCTTGATTATGGACTCCTCGGCAATCTTCTCCGTCAGTCATTTTTTTTCCATGTTGGGTTTTCCACCTGAATTCGGTGTTGTCCCTACTTCCTATTATTTGTTGCAATTGTGTGATTGTGTGTTAGTGTTTTCGATGTTGGATTACTCTTTCATYGATGTTCGCGATAGATAATCTATAATCTCGATTTCTGTTTAAGTCGATACGGTTGTTATTTCTAAATATTATTTAATAAAATATTATTTAATCATCTAAATTTTTAATCTCATTGATAAAAAAAACCATAAAAAATAATTTATTGTATTTCTACAAATATTTTAATTCTTTTTGAAATTTCTGAAATACCAATTTTATTTTATTATAAATAAAAAAGGGGGTTTTATCTCTTTTAACCTGACGTGAATTGGTTATCTATATAATGGGTGGTCAAGCATGCATTCAGAAACACTCATCCATAACCATGGCTTCTTCAATACTTCCCTTCACCTCTGCATGCACACAAACAGCTGCTACGTCCACCAACACATTCTTAACTCCTTCTTCCACCTTCCTCTCCAATTCCAAACCCTTCTCCCATCGATCCTCCAAGAACCAAAACCACCAGGGTTTCAGAGTCTCATGCAACGTTGCACCGGCAGATCATGACGACGATAATAATAATCCGAAATCACTCATAATCCCAGCAACCCAAAAGCTCATACTGCCCAATGTCGACCGGAGGAATCTTCTCGTGGGCCTCGGCGGCCTCTATACCACCGCCAACTTCGCTTCCTTGCCGCTCGCATTAGCTGAACCCATAACAGCTCCTAACATCTCAAGCAGTTGCAAGACCGCCGCCATGGGAATCGGCAACATGAAAGACGCTGTAAGGACCCGAGCCTGTTGTCCGCCGGGAAAAGAYAAGCCCATTAAGAGTTTCGTGTTTCCTCAAGAAAAAACAGTGAGAATGAGATGGCCGGCGCATAGGGGCACTACAGAAGATGTGGACAAATATAAGCAAGCAATCCAAGCCATGAGGGATCTTCCAGACGACCACCCACACAGCTTCGTGCAACAAGCTAAAATYCATTGTGCTTACTGCAACGGAGGTTACACTCAAGTCGAAAATGGCTTCCCAGATATCGATATCCAGATTCACAACAGCTGGCTCTTCTTTCCTTTCCATCGTTGGTACTTGTATTTCTATGAGAGAATCCTTGGAAAGTTAATAAAGGATCCCACATTCGCCTTGCCCTACTGGAATTGGGACAATCCCACCGGAATGGTGATTCCTGCCAYCTTTGAAGAAGGCGGGAAAGGCACCAAGGATAATCCAAATTCTCTCTTTGACGCTTACAGAGACGGCCGTCATCTCCCRCCGGAAATTGTTGATCTGAACTACAGTGCAGAGACKGATGCTACTTGTATAGAGCAGATAGGCATCAATCTGGCCACAATGTACAGACAGATGGTCTCCAGCGCCACTAGTGACACACTTTTCTTCGGTGGCAAATACGTAGCTGGAGATGCGCCGGTTGCAAATGGTGCCAAGTCAATCGGGTCCATTGAAGCCGGTTGTCACACCGCCGTGCACCGGTGGGTAGGTGACTCGAGAATGCCGAACAATGAGGACATGGGAAACTTCTACTCCGCCGGATATGACCCTTTGTTCTACATCCACCATACGAACGTCGACCGCATGTGGAAGATATGGAAGGATTTGGGCATTCCAGGACACTCGGAACCAACTTCAAGTGACTGGTTAAATGCTTCGTATGTGTTCTATGACGAGAATGAGGAGCTTGTGCGTGTTTACAACAAAGATTCCGTCAAGATAGAGAATCTAAAGTACGGTTACGAAAGGTCCGAGATCCCATGGCTGAAGGGTCGACCAGTCCCACGTAGCAAAAACTCCAAAATTGCATCCAAATCCATCGGAAAGGTRAAGAAGGTGCAGGATGTGAAGTTCCCGGTGAAGCTAGACAAGACTGTGGAGGTTCTTGTGAAGAGGCCGGCTACCAACCGAACTTCTGCGGACAAGGAGAAGACGACGGAGGTGTTGTTGATCAATGGAATCCTGTTCGACAGTGAAGAGTTTGTGAAGTTCGATGTGTTTGTGAATGACAAGGAAGACGGTCGGCCGAGCTCACCATCTGATAGTGAGTTTGCCGGAAGTTTTTCGCAGGTTCCACACAGCGATATGAACAAAATGTTGATGTCGAGTGCAGCGAAGTTCGGGATAACGGAGCTGTTGGAGGACACGGAGGCTGAAGGCGACGAGTTTGTATTGGTGAAACTGGTACCGAAGGTAGGGTGCGAAGATCTGACCATTTCCGAGATCAAGATCGAGTTGGTTTCTAATGCTTAATTAATTAATGTAGTAATCGCAATCCTTTGCGTAATTTGGTGTTTTATTGAACGTAATTATGGTTGGCCATGCACTGCATCCCACTTGAATAATGAACAGTAATTGTTGATCATCTTATTCTTTCCATCACTGTCAACCAAGAAAACAAATATGAACAAATTAATAAGATCAAAAACATTATGGTACAAACAAAAGGTTTGCTAAAAACTCCATCTAACTCAATACAAAATAATTTAATCCGAAGTAATACGATGTCTAATCAAGTTATAAAATTTTCAAAACGATTGTATTGGATTACTATTATTTGAATCCAATCAACCCGATAAACCTGATATACTTTTATTTATTGGATTTAATATGATTATTGAATTTCTATTAATATATATACATTAGATAGTTACACATTTACACTATCACGTACGTTTTTCATATACGTATATTTTTAATTTATTCACATCTCTATATAACTAATCCGTATATATGTAAATTGAGAAAATTAACTGAATGTGAAAAAAGTTTGGATAAGTTGTATCAAATGGTTGATGAAGAAAAAGAAATTATGTGTAGAGAAATAACATATTCAAGGTTAAAATAACATTTTAATATACCAAAGTATCAACCAAACCAACTCGTACGGTTTGGGTTGGGTTAAGATTTTTCAAACCGCAAACATTATATTGGGTTGTTCAAATATCTTTAACCCGACCAACTCAACTCATGAACACCCTAGGTGAAAATACAACCAACTAAATTTGATTAGTTATTTTACAATAATTTTTTTAATATTTAATAAAATCAACAATAATAAATATTGTATAAAATAAAATCTAATAATAACAAATTTTAGGTAAAATAAAATCAACGAATTTAAAAAAAATGTTTATTTGTCAAAAAAATATGTGAAAAACATAAATATTAAAAACAAACAACAAATAAATTAAAGTTTTAATATTGATGTTGTTGGATTATAGAGAACCGATTTCGATTGGTGAACCTCTCCTTGTCGGGTGGAGGGGACCGAGACCTTCCAATGGATCCTTTTTTAATGGATTGATCTAGAAACTTCTAATTTCTTTAACATTGTGGATGCTTTTCGTTAAAATCTAATAAAACCATATTGTACATTTGATGTAATATGTGGCTATGTGGGGTCTGTGGAGTTGCACAGTAGGTATATGGTACATTAAGATAGTGATATCTCTTGGGAGTGATAGTCGGTATGCCTTAAATTTGTTTCTTGAGCACATTGGATAAACATCTATTAGAGGCCTACATTGTAATTGTCAAGGGGTTTGTAATGTTATGGCTATAAATGTTGTGCAATGTTCGTGTGATGGGAATGTGCTCTAACTTTAATTGAGTATGATTGTTTCCATTGTTGGCTTACTCAATATTTCAACTATTCTTAAATGCTGAAATGGTGTTGAAGGGAATTCACAAGACCTTACGATCTAACTCTCGTTTTTGTAAATAAAAAGTATCTGTAGGAAAGTATCAGATAGAGAGTAGCTCAAAGAGGAAGGGAATACGTGATCCTCCTGATGGATGGCAAGCCGACTTAGTTTCCTTTGTCCTTAGTTTGTAATAATTCTCAACTGTGGATTTATGTTTTCCGTTGCTAACATTTGAAATGTACTTAGAAATCCTTATACTTATCCTGGCGGAAGGTGCTAGATATTTGCATATATATTAGAGGAAGTTACATTTTTGGTCCCTGTAATCTATACATTTATTTACTCATTAAAGAAAAATGTGACAAAAGTATATAAAGACTAAAAACCCCCTTATCTAACAAAAAAGAAATTAATGACCGTTTATGGGAGGGACCAAATCAGATCGTTTTTTAAAAGCAGAATTGCCAAACTATAGTTTCGAAACTGCAGGGACGAAAAGTGCTAGTTTCGAGACAACACATGGACCCAAATTTATATGTTATATATTACATTTGACGTAGACAATGATATGCCATTAAAGCCTAGTAACTTGTGTTACATCATCTTAAATCAAATTAAAAGGTTACTTATTGTTGAGTAAATTTTTTAAAATATAATACACTGATAAAAGATAACTTGGAACTATGTTGCAATAATGAAAAATAAAAATAGAATGTTATAATCAGATTTTTTTTTAAAGTGGGTTACTATTTTATGTTGTTTGTTATAAACCAAATTTAATATCATGTTTATTTTATAAGAATTATTAATAAAAAAAAAGTAAATATATTTCTAATAAAATTCTATAATAAAACAAATATGATTCTTATCAAGGATAGATCCAGACATTTTTTCAAACGGTTGCACAATTTAACTATAAGAAAAAACTATAGGGAAATTTTTTCACCGTTTGACTATAAAAATCAAATATACATAAAAAAATTTCAATCGGTGACACCATTTGACTAATAAAATGACACCAATATGATATGAACTTGGGTCTGAGGTGAAATAAAATCCTAGCAAACCAACTCTACCAAATAAAACTTATTTTTATTGTAGTTTTAAAATAAATACGATAGCACACAATAAATTAATATGGTTGTACTTTTCACGTTCCTAATTTTTTTTATTATAAATGCCAATAAGGAGGATAATATTATTTTTAATATGATTGTATCTTTCCGTCCGAAGCTATTGAAAAATAAAAGCATTTCTATTAATTTAGAGAAAATAATATTATTTTGATTATAAATATATAATATAATATGTAAGTAATTAATTGTTTATTATGAATGCCAATAAGGAGGATAAAGGTGGGTAAACCTCTTGTCCAATGAAAAGAAAGTATGATAAAACAAATAGCGTTGCAATTATAAAATATTATCCGATCCGATAAAATATAAATAATGATTAAAAATAACAAACGACACTTGAACACTTTTAATTCTCAAATGCATTCCATTCTCCATTGTTTTATATCCACCAATCGTATTTTAATATGTTATTTTTATAAGTCATGTGAAATACGATATATATATATATATATATATGTATTATTAATAGTATAAAAGTATTAAATTGAATAACATTAGAAATTAAGAAATATGTAACAAAAATTCATACTAATTAATCCAACTGAAAATACACTCTAAATTCCTCACAATTAAATGTTTTACCCAATCAAATGTTTTTCTTAACATGATATTATTTTTAATTATTTATTAAAAGTAAATGCATTGAACAACACATGAAAAGATATAAAAAAAAAGATGATGGATAAAGACAACTGAATCTAAAAATATAAAAATGTACAATTAAAATACATGAATTTAATAATGAAGCAGCAGAGACGCATATAATTCAAACATGTCATCTTCTCGATATATGCATAATAATTCAAATTTTGCTTTTTAATACATATATCTATATCTATATATGCATACACACAGGGTCAGGTTCATGTGAGACAATGTTGTTTTTGTGAGTTACGTAAAACACGATTTTTACACATGAAATTTCACAACAAAATATTGTGAAGGTAAAAAAAGCCGAATATTCAAAGCAAAAATACTGTAAAAGATACATTCACAGTGTTTTGCTGTGAAGTTTCAAGTGTAAATATCGTGTCTCACGAAAACAATCTTGTCTCACGAAAACAATCTTGTCTCACATGATCCCAAGTCTATATATATATATATATATACTTATATATGTATATATATATACATATACATACATAGGGGTCCATTCAAGGTAGAACTGATTAGTTTGTAGTAACTGTGAGATCCAATCTGAACCACAAATCAACAGATAAATTAGGAAATTAATAATTATGGTAGTTTGAGTTAAAATTATAATTATAGAAATTTTTAGGTATTTTTAAAAAATTCATCTCTCATTTTTCCTCTCTCATCTCTCCGACCTCCAATCTCCGGCCTCCGGTAAACATTAATCCGGCAGGTACCAAGTAATCATAAAGATACACAATATGAAACACATTGTGATATAATGTGATACCATTGTGATACCAACTATGATACCAACTCAAACCTTAAAAACAAAGATACACTATGTGATACCCATTGTAATACATAATGTGATACCCATTGTGATATACTGTGATACCGATTTCACCGGAGGCCAAGATTGGAGGTCGGAGAGATGAAAGAGGATAGAGGAGAGAGGAGATTTTTAAAAATACCTAATATGCCCTCTAATTATAATTTTAACCCAAACTACTATAATTATTAATTTCCTAATTTATCCGTTAATTTGTGGTTGAGATTGGACCTCACAGTTACCACAAACTAATCAGTTCTCATTTGATTAGGCCCCTACATACATATATATACATATAAGGTCGGGTTCACGTGAGACCAACCTGTTTTCATGAGACCCGTGAGACCACTTTTTTGCACTTGAAACTTCATAGCAAAATGATGTGAAGGTAACCTTCACAGTGTTTCTGCTGTGAAGGTTCAGTCTTTTTTCCATATACATCTCTGTTCACAAATGAACAAATTCCCATAAATATCGAATACGTATTCACATATGAACCATTAACAAAAAAACTGTAGAAGAATCTGGTGTCAGGGATCTTGCTGTTGGTTTTGATTCGATGACGATATTAATTCTCGGATAGTTACATTGTCATTAATGGGCGGTTATAAAACATCACTTTGTCATTAATGGACAACTAAAATCTTTTTCTAAAATACCCTTTGTAAATATTGTTTACTAATGTTACCTTGTCTATGTGTACAATTAATTACACTTTATGTCATGAATGATCTTAGCCACAAATTTAAAAGATCAATAATCAAGATTAGTTAACAAAATTAACACAATAAACTTGATTAATATTTGGACCATGCTCAAGAGATAAGATGGCCATATGCAGATTCCTGCCATACGTATAAAAACATGTTCATATAAAACAAAATATCTCATACGCATGAGAAACATGTTCATAAAAGAAAAAATATCTAAGTTATCCAACAATATTGATTTAATATATATATATATATATATATATATATATATATGTGTGTGTGAGAGAGAGAGAGAGAGAGAGAGTTGTTTTTCAAATTATTTAACTTATAATATAAATAAAAATAAAAGAAAGTAAATAATTACAGATAATAATATGGTTTCATATTTATTTGTAATTTTGGT